GGGATAGGGGTGCCCCTCCCCGAACCCGCCCCGTTGCCATCCCTAGGCTACATGCGTTGTCATCCAACGACCTTCATTAATTTTGTCCAAATATAAAAGCTCACACTTAGTACCAATCAAGAGTAATGCAAGTTTAGACTCTTAAAACTATAATCTAGCTACCCTACCTTTTACTTATTGCTCCCCAAAGCTGATTCGTTTTCTATATTGGAGGCTCGCGTTTAAAGCTCTCCCACACTAATATAACGATTTCTCCAACTGACTTGACCGTTGGAGTGCGCCAACTCCACCCCCTCTGAAGAAAGCCACATGTGACTAACGGTTTGTCCAAGTGTACATGAACCAAGCTTGCTTGAACGTGAGAGGTCTTATGATCTATTGGCCACGTCAGTTGAACATTTTTTGGGGTCAACATTATCCTTACTTTTAGTTCAGTAATTAAAAATAAATTTAAATAAATGAGAAAATAAAATAATTAACAGAAATGACAATTTCTCAACATCAATAAACTTTTCTAATTTTGGTTCAACCTATTCCAATACGAGGGATTTGGTTAAAAAGTATAAGGAACCAAAATTTTTTACTAAAAGGTCTTCAATTAAAGTTCTAAAGGCCTACAATATGAGCACATTTGAGCCCCATTTTTTCTTCAAAATATATTTTGAAATAGTATTTTGATAGAGAACGTGTAATTAAAAAATTTTGGATTTACGTATAATATTATTTTATTAAAAATGTGTGTTTGAAAATAAGAAAAAATGTATTTTGAAAGTAATGAGAACCAAAAAGGGGCTATAGGTTAAAAATTCTAATTTGTCCAAAATTCCTTATCAAAAGCCCCCTAACCCCTGTTTGGTGGGGATTAAAATTAAATTTTTAATAAATTTTGATATAAAAAAATTGAAATGTATGATTAAAAAGTTGTGGGACCCATAAGATATGTAGTTAATATTGATTGTTTGACTTTAATCTACATTAAAATCTGATTTAAATTAATACCAAACAAATGCCTAATTTCATTCCCCCATTTTGCCTTCATTCTTCAAAATTTAATATGAAACCCAATTTATCGTATTTTTCTTTCTTTGCTTTATATCTTAAGATTGGTGACATTAAGTGTCTTTAAATCGCTTATTTTTTTCAAATTGGTGCACGAACCCATTAACTCAACTAGGACTCTACATTAAGCTCCTGTTTGGGCTCCATTATTCCACATTTTAATGAAAGGGATAGTAATTTTTGGAAAATATGTGGTTGAAAAAGAAAGAAATTTTTTTAGATTTATGTGTAATATTATTTTATAGAAGAATGTTACTACAATATAAAAGAGCCAAAAACTTGGCAGCCACGTGTCGCGATTTTCCATTGTCAACATAATTCAATTTTTTTTTCATTCATTCACTTTCACGCAATGATCACCTCCACTGCAGTTTTCTCCATATCCATATGCAACTTCACTTTATCCACACAATCAGTGCAGCAACTTTTCATTTCTTCTCCATGCCTTCCTTTTTCCTTTTTCTCTTATTTTACACGAGAAATCACCGATGAGTAAGAAAAACTAATAGTCTTTATCATAAATTCTTTCATATTTCTTTCACAATCTGGATTCACCGGAAGAGTTGGAATCGAAGGTAAAGATGGAGAAAAAGAAAAAGTGGAAACAACAGGGGCTCTTTTAAAACGAGCATGGTGAGTTCTCGTTCGCCCCGAAAGATAAATAGCTTTCTCGAATTTGTTTACCGCTACATTCGTCACAGCCACATACTCTGTCTCCATTTTCATGCCTACTTTTTTTAGATAAGTTATTCTGCTTATTTTGAGATGAAAATAATCTAATAAGCTTCTCAACACTTTGAAAGTCAGGAGCAGCTTCTTTTGCAGCGTTTTGTTCTGATTGTTAAACAATGTTTGTCCGATTCATTATGAGCTCTACAGCCATGGCTGACCGGAGAATAATGTGTAGGGAAAGTGTAGCAAATGGTTCGGCGATCCCACACCTGTACACTAACATGAGGCGAAGCTGAACCGGCATTCGAGCGCGGATGACCCATTTCCCCCCTCGAGGCGAAATTGAACCAACCACATTACACGCGAACCCCATGGGAGAGCCGATCCAGATCTTATATTACGCAACTGACATGACAATTCACTGTCGCCGTCACCAACTTATCGGTCAAATCCAAGGCCGCAAGCTAGGCCTTATGATTACAAAAATGGTATTAGCATTTAAGACTGCGATTGATTGATGTCTACGACAATAAATGTTAGTCATTTGGATGAGGCCACATGTGTTGTCATCCAACGACCTTCATTCGTCTTGCCCAAGTATAAAAACTCACACTTAGTGTCAT